GGATATTGAAAAAGAGAGAAAACGATTGGAAAGAAAGGGATTCAGTGAAGAACGACTAGATAGGGAAATGGAAAATTTCGGTATAACTGAAAAATCCAAGGGTGTCAAGAAATGTGTTGTCAAAAATAAGTTGACTTTTGATGACTATGTGAATTGTCTGACGGCTTGGAAAGAAAAGACCGTAGCCCAGCAAACGATTCGTTCCTACGCTCACGATGTTCTTTCCATCGAACAAACAAAAATTGGTCTGAGTCCCAAAGATGATAAGCGCAAACTGATTCACGATTCGTTTGACACACTTCCGTGGGGTCACTACAGTTTGACGGATTGATTTTCTCCTCAGTATTTTTGCACCAAAATTTTTAAACCAACGCTGTGTTGTATTGATGACTCACTTTCCCATGAAAAAAATGTAACTTTTTTTATTCATCCAATAATTTACCAAATGTTGTATATATGTATATTTTCAATTATTTTAGTATTATCTGATTATTCCTAATATTCATATTTTATTGTATAAACTTTTTTTCATTTATATTATCCCTTTTTACATTTATACTATTATACACTTTTACAATTATCAGACTTTTCTGTGTATTCTTTTCCCACACCCTTGTCTGGATGATGTGTACGAGAAAGAGAGAGAGAGAGGCGAAAAAAGAAAAGCAGCGAGAAAGAGAGAGAGAGAGAGGGAAAGAGATGTAATAAGATGTGGGTTGAAAGTATGGATGTAAAAAACAGTTGTATCATGTCTTCTGACGAATACAGAGGTGCACTAGAAGAATTTGGGTTGAAAGTTAGAAAGCTCAGTGCAGACATCCAATTGTATGAGCAGAAAGTTTGTTTGTTCAAAGATTTCGAGCAATTGAGTATTTGGGACAAGGTGTTCACAGAACCAAGACGTTCAATTGCAACGTTTCCTACATCGAGAAGAATCCAACCAACACAGCTACTAGATGGCGATACTGAAAGCAAGCTCCATTCTATTGACAGCTCTGAGCAACAACGTCTTCTACACAAACATACCATGTGATACGAGGAATGCAGGCATATGTTTTGATATGAATCGTACACAACAATGTGATTGGAAGATGATGAAAAGAATGCATGTCAATGATAACAAACTACCTGTATATTCAATCGACATGCCTCGAGTCAATGGGACCACCATCGACTACAAATTGAAATAATTCTTTTCTGATGGCAGTGACTGCGAAACTGGGGACTGGCAGACATTTACATTGAAGAAATCACCCACAAAATTAGATGATGATCAAGATTCTGTCAATATCATTGCAATTTTGACACTTTGTTGTACACTAATATGTTCACTCATTTTAATCTCACATGTTATTTTCATTATACTGAGAAATAAGGGATGTGATGAATAAAAACTCTGAAATTATTATAAAGTTTTTTATTTTGGCAATAAATTACATAACCAATTATATAAAGTATCGACATTGTGGAGACTGCACTCGAACCTTCCTCAATGGAAATGATTCATGCAAGGGGGAATGGATTGTTGAAACGTTATTGGTTGCCACCAAGAATTGTCAAAATCTTCCAAATTATCAATGTGATTGGTCATCTCCAACTCTGTGCACATTTTCGTTGCAAAAACTGAATCTTTTGGTGGCCTCTTACGTAGATGATGTTTGTCTGCTGCAGGTTATCTCGTAGTATTTGATCCAACTCATTCAAATCCACATAACCACTGGAATATTTTAAACCATGAACGTAACGCTTCACATGATTTGCCATCTTTTTATCTTCTCTGCTTAAACTCGAAAATTCTACAGATGGCTTGAATAGAAAATGACTCGTCTTTCTGCCAATGCGAATGGTCATTTCCTTTGGAATAAATTCACCATCAACCGTGAACCCTTGAATGTCAACCAGTGCGATCTCCATGACTCTTCGAAGCAAACTGACGTCTGACTGATGCAGCAACACCTAACTAGGCAATATTTCGAACAATTTCGCTGAGTGGGAGATGTTCCATGATTTGATCGTGTATGATAATGCAATAGGCTTTGGTGTCGGGAGGGAAGCCTGTAGTCGCTTCAATGTCCAACTTTATGTCAACTGTAGACGACTTCATGCCTAGATGGCGCCTCGAGCAATCGATAACAAACATTGGTCGGGATTTGAATTCGGCAAAGTTCACTAGAGAGCGCTTTTCTTGACAGTTATAGTAGCCCTCTCAAATTACAAAATTCACAAATTGCATTCATTTTATCACACCTATTTGCTAAATGTGATTCAGATCCGCATCTAAAACATATCAAATCATATTTGTTAGTATAGTTAGAAGACCTATTAGATTTGATGGAAGGTCTAGTAAAATTATCCAGTTTGTAAGATCTGCTACTGCTTGGACTGGGAATCTCGACCTAATGAACCTCAGAAGAAACATGTTTATGTAAACTGGCAGTATCCCTTCGTGATATCTCCATACTTGTGGCAATGTCAAATGCCTTCTCTAGCGTGAGCTCCTTTATTTGTAGTAACTTATCTTGAATGTTTTCAGCTAGTGAACCACAGACAAACTTATTCCGTATGGTTTTCTTCAGATAATCTCCAAATTTGCAATAGACAGCTAGTTTCTGTAATGCCGTGACATATTCTTGACATGTTTCTTCGTCACGTTGATTTCTTTGATGAAATCGAAAAATCTCAGTAATTTCCAGAGGTTGTGGGTGATGATATTGTAGCGTACAATCCACTAATTCCTGGAAAGTCATCCGGTGGGGGTCTTCTGGTGATAACTTATCACAAATGATGTCATAAGATTCAGGACCAATGTAATGAAGTAAATAAGCAACTTTCATATCATTTCCCACCTTGAACACGTTGAAAGCCCTTTCGAGTCGTTACACCCAACGATCGAATCTAATTCTTTCCACATCGGAAGTTTCAATCGGAAAAACAGTTTGGATAGTTGTAGTAGTTTCTGCCATATTTTCCTTGTATCCTCTTCCTGATGGTGTTACTCCGTGTCGATTCGATTATCCTCATCGCCAATTTGTTAGGTACATATAATTGCAAAATGATTTGATCGAAAACAAGTAGTTTTATTTCTCAATTGCAGAAATCCATAACAAGAGAATAATAATTGTTGATTAACAACCAGATAGATTAAGTGAGTAAGTGAAGTAGATGTGAAGATATAACAGTATCCATGTGAGATGATATAATAAAGAGATACAGTGTGCACACCGATGAAGTCGATGTATCCTTATCAGCCTGTTGTTCTCGTGAAATACCCTTCGAAGTCATTCTATATGGTCGATGCGATCTCATTTGCCCCATGTGTATGCATGTCAGAAGCTACAAGGCAGGCCCCATAGTAAACATAGTCGAAGTCGAAGTTTCTTGTTCGGCCTGTTATGTGCGTTATACCGTCTTTGCATCAATAGTATCATTGTGGGATGATAGAATACTGAGAGACAGTGTGCTCATCAATGATGTCGTTGTATCTCCAATCGCCTGTTGTACTCGTTATATACCTCACAAAGTCGTATTTTATGGTCAGTGAAATAGTATGCGAGTCAGATACTAGAATGTTGAGTTACAGCGTGAACATACTCGGAGTTTCTTATCCTGGATGTTGTGATCGTCAAAATCGTTACGATGTCGTCTTATATTGTCATTGTGATTTATTCTGCTCCAATAGTATTCATGTGAGATGATAGAATAGAGAGATACAGTGTGCACACTGATTGAATCGATGTATCCTCATTTGCCTGTTGTACTCGTTGAATACCCTCCAAAGTTATCATATATGGTCGGTGCGATCTTATCTGCCTCAACTGTACGCATGTCAGGAGCTAGAATGCAGGTCCCAGTGTAAACATAGTCGAAGTTGTAGTTCCTTGTTCGGCCTGTAAAGTGCGTTGAACCGCTTGAAAGTCGTCTAATATGGTCTTTGTCAACTTATCCGCTTCAATAGTATCATTGTGGGATGATAGAATACAGAGATACAATGTGCTCACTAATGAAGTCGTTGTATCTCCATTCGCCTGTTGTACTCGTTATATACATTTCAAAGTCGTCTTTTATGGTCAGTGCAATAGTATGCAAGTCAGATACTAGAATGTAGAGTGAACAGTGTGAACATAATCTCATTCTGGATGTTGTGGTCGTTAAAATCGCTCCGATGTCGTCTCATATCGCCTGGTAAATTCTCAAGGGGCATAAGTGTACCTTCAAAACTGCAATATTGCAAATCCAAGAACTAATGACACGTCCGTATTGAATGCCTATATTGAAATGCGGGCTAATATAAATTGAAACGGGTTCAAAGATCGCATCGCACTTTTGTGACTTTAGTATTAGGAGATAGTGCCGTATCAGCTATGGAATGAGTGGAGCTAAGCACAACTGAAGCCTGAATTATTGTAGCGCAAACTCAGAAATTGCACAGTACCAAAAGGCATAAGTCTACGAAATGACGTTTGTATCTCCTCTCTTTTCGAAATACCGAACGCGATGAATGAACTCCATATATGGTTATGCCGTTTGTATTTTTTTATAATCATGGTTTCTGTTGAAGTCAAATGAACATGATTCAAGGAAATGTCTATTTGATTGTGTTGGAAATCAAAAATGGAAACGGTATGAATGAGCTCCACTATATCCAATGCCGTTTGTATTTTTGTAAACAATAGTTATTAAAATGTCATGAATGGTCCCAAATATGCAAAATGCCATTTGTATTGTTACAATATATCCTTTTCAATACGCGATGAATAGTTTTGAGTACTCAAAATGTCGTTTGTATTTTGCGAAATATCGGTAGTTATTGTTTCAAGTAGAAAGATTTTCTGTCACTAAATTAACATCTGGCTGTTTTATTGAGTGAATGACATAAATCATTCTCAGTCATATTTTTTTCAATAAAAATTTTATTAGGAATTTTTTGATCAAAATTGTAGAATACAAATATCGATTTTATCATGAAAAGAGGAAGTTTTTTTTCGCTGTGACTCAATAGGTCACAATTTTATAATCCGCTTTACTTTCTCGCGCTTCGAGTTCCTTTTCTTGGACGGTTGTTCTTTTTTTTCACCCGATTTGGAGTAAGTATCTTCTAGACCTGGAGGCGATTCCAAGTTAATTTCCTGATCTTCATTAGCGTCTGCATCATGAGCTGACTGATCATGTCGCACAGGAAATGATTCATCTGAACCCCTACTTTTCCCTCGATTGACCTCAAGATTCCTGCAAAAATGTATATATCACTAGTTACTTTTGCTCGACAAAAATCTTATTTGAATTGTATACCTAATAAATTTCAAAGATTTTTGTCTTTGTGATGAAAAGCCTAAAATAATTATCGATCGCTAAGTTACTGTAGATAAAGTGAGTTTTTCATGATACTAATTTGAGATATTGAAATATTTTATAACTTAGTAACTAATTCACGATAAAAAGGGACATACTGGTAATATTGTCTTGCTGTGTCTGGGAAGGTTACAGCATTTGAAATAGTGATCAAATCTTTCTTTTCCGCTAAAGAAATTGGCAAAATTGAAGAATAGAGTTGAGGTAACTCTTGAGCAATTTCAACATCGGTTGCTGTTTTGCCCAGTTTGACAATGGCATATTCCTCATCATCATATCCATATTTAATTTTCAGTTGATTCTCTGAACCTTTTTCGAATCGAAATGAAACGATCTTGCTCCATTTGACCTAGAACAAAAAAAGAATAAAGATCAGTATAATTGAATTTGAACTTTTCACAGGAGAAGTGATAACCATGAGATAAGATAAACTCAAACATTTCATATACCTTATAGCCATCAACAGTCTTTGAATTGAGTTTCATGTCGAATAGCTTTTCATTCACTGCTTTGAAATCAATGAAGGATTTCTGATTCATAGGGACAGCATCGTATCGAATTCCATGAACTTTGGCCTTTTCGATCACCTGAAGCCAATCCTGTGGAACATAGATTTTTTGCCCCTTTTTTGCCATTTCGATAGTCCCATGCACTGAATCGCAAACCATTTGGGTATGACCAGAGACTAAGAACGTTATTTCGATTGCTCTTAGATTTGAGAACTTTCGCATAGTACACTGAGAGAACAGTTTATTGACAATAAAGAAATTTTATTTATTGTTAACGAATGACGTTGTTGAATATGGACTAACTAACATGATTTTATCACAAACTAATGGTATTTTAGAGAATTACAAACGAATATACAGGTTGATATTAAGTTATCATAATCTTGATCTCATGAAACATATATTAAATATTAACAAATATCACTTTGTGGACACTATAACCCATTTTGCATTAAAATAGATTCGTTTATAATAATGTAACGTTACTTCAAATTCAATTAACGTTTTCTTAATGCAATCGACTGTCACTTATATGTTAAGTTATCTATATAAAAATTTAATACACTTCGTTTTAAATTCAGCTTTTTCAGTGTTGTACAGAAAGGAGGCATTGTTTCAATAAAGAAGCATTACTTATAGCATAAGGAATCATTTCGTTATTGATAAGTTATGCTTCGTCAATATATAATATATTGTAAATATATTTTCCTTGAAGGCGCTTCAGAAACATCAGCAGGAAGGCAGGAGAACAACGATCATCCTGTATCACGCATCCCAGATTGCTCTCCAACCTATCAATGATTCCTACATACACCAACATATTTCCGAACACTCAATATATGCCGCAGTGACAAAGAACGTCACAGAAGATTCTGGAATGTTCTGGAAACAATCGATGGAACAATTAGAGAGAGAGGTTTGTTCTAAGAAGCTTCTAGAACAAAAAGAAGGAGACGGAAGATCATTTCGAGGAGGTTCTCGAACCAAAGCCTGCCTGTGTTCTCATATATAAAACGGCCGAACAACTGAGTCAGGCAGTCAAACAGCGAGTGTCAGAGAGACAGTTATATACCGCGTGTTCAAATCGTTTTACATAAATAGTAGTTATAAGTTCGATATAAATTAGTGTTTCTTTAGTTTAAATAAATAAGTTCGAAAATAAATAGTGTCGTGTTCGCTTCTGCACCCGAATAACGTAACAATTGGTGTCAGAAGTGTGGGATATTCCAGTGTGAAGTGAACAGACCGTTGCAATGAAGAAACTACACGAGTTGAGAGTGGTGGACTTGAAACGCGAGTTGGAGGAGAGAGATCTCGATACAACAGGGATCAAGGCTACACTTCAGCATCGTCTCATAGAGTATATGGTGAGCGTAGGTCAGGACCCAGAGACGTTCACCTTCGAGGAACCAGCTTCAGCGGAATCGATGTTGGCTGGGATCTCGGAACAGATAGCGGCTCAGCGACAGGACACGTCCGTATTGAATGCCTATATTGAAATGCGGGCTAATATAAATTGAAACGGGTTCAAAGATCGCATCGCACTTTTGTGACTTTAGTAGGTGGTGGTGGACTTGAAACGCGAGTTGGAGGAGAGAGATCTCGATACAACAGGGATCAAGGCTACACTTCAGCATCGTCTCATAGAGTATATGGTGAGCGTAGGTCAGGACCCAGAGACGTTCACCTTCGAGGAACCAGCTTCAGCGGAATCGATGTTGGCTGGGATCTCGGAACAGATAGCGGCTCAGCGACAGAACATAGCGGCTCAGCGACAGGAGATTGCGGCTCAGCGACAGGAGATTGCGGCTCAGCGACAGGACATTGCTGATCAGATGGCAACTCAGAGAGAAGAAGTTCTGGCACAAATAACTGCTCAGCAAAATCAAATCGCATCGCAGATCTCAGCTCAACGGCAAGAGGTATTGGATCAGATATCGGCTCAACGGGAAGAGATATCAGCTCAGAAAGAGGTACTAGCTCAGTTTTCTGCTCAGCAAGATCAGATCGCCTCCCAGATATCAGCCCAGCGAGAAGAGGTATTAGCTCAGATTTCTGCTCAGCAAGATCAGATAGCCTCTCAGATATCTGCCCAACGAGAAGAAGTATTGACCCAGATATCAACACATCGGGAAGAGGTGCTGACTCAGATTGCTGCTCAGCAAGAACAGATCGTGTCTCAGCAGGATGAGATTATAGCTCAGGTATCAACCCAATTCACCATCCAGATTGAAGAAATGAAGAAGGAGCTGCAGCTCGAAACAGAAAGAATAGCTGTGCTGGAGAAGTCTGGAAATGGTCAAGGACTCATGAATGAAACCACAGTTGGGCCAGATCTCGGGCCAGATGCAGTGACTACTACCAATCGAGTAAAACCACCAACATTCGATGGAAAAACATCGTGGCCGAACTATCTGAAGCAGTTCGAAGCAGCTTCAAAAGCCAATGGGTGGACATCCAAGGACAAGGTTGTGGCTCTGACAGTAGCTCTACGGGGTGATGCATTGAACATCTTGCAAGCCATTCCGGAAGGTGAAGTCGATAGCTACGATCATCTCGTCAAACGTCTCGACATGCGATATGGCCATGAACATCTGCAGCAAGTGTTTCAATCACAAATGAAGAGCCGTCGACAGAGAGCCAACGAGAGTCTTCAAGAATTCGAGGTGAATGTAGCCCGATTGGTCCACTGTGGCTACCCGTCAGCCCCAGAGTCCCTTATGGAATGTCTAGCTGTTCAAACGTTCGTGGATGGATTGCGGGATATCGAAATGCAGAAAGCAGTTCGCCTGACTCAACCAGAAGACCTCACCAGTGCTCTGGCAGCTGCGATTGAGATCGAGGCTGCAGCAGGAGCTCTCCGAGGATCAGCGAGAGTCCGAGCAATGAACGACAGCGGAAACATAGCGGAAAATACCAGGCAAGATCCTACTGAAGCCTTAATCAACGCCATCTAGGGCCTCTGGAATGAGAAGAGGAGACCGGTACGTTGTTGGAATTGCGGGGAGTTGGGCCACCTCCAGAGAGCTTGTAAACGTGCGAAACAGGCTGCTGAGGAAGGATCATCTTCCACGCAGCCGCAGGAAAACTAGAGCGGGTCGACTTCGAGGGGGCAGCTTCGACCCGTAATTCTCAAGACCCTCTCATCTTTGTGGCATCCCTACGGCGTGATAACAGCAGCATTAACGTAGATGGACTGATCGACGGAAAGAAATGCGCATTGTTGGTGGATACTGGTGCATCGAAGACAATCCTGCGACGTGGACTTCTGACGTCTTCAAGAAAGCAACTTCTGAACTCAAGATGGCGTCTGAGAACTGCTACGGGTGAAGCTGCCACCGTTTATGGGGAAATCGATGTGAATATATCGATCAGGACCGTCAAATTTCCACATCGAGCTATCATGGCAGATATTGAAGAAGATGTTATCCTGGGAATGGACATCATGGGTGCGCAAGGAATTCAACTGGACTTTAGGAGCCGAACACTCAAGGTGGGTGCCGAAGAGATCTTCTTACATCCACGGGTGGAGGTAGCGGCAGGGGTAACGTTAGAAGAGGACGTCCTGTTACCGAAACGGAGCGAGACCATTGTAGCAGCGCGGATTGAGGGTAAATTGGAGCAAGGCAGTCCCATCATCATGGAACCCAGGAACGATGACGAGGAAGTTGGACGTGGAATTTTAGTCGGCAAGGCTTTACTGTCAGCAGACGACCATGTACCTGTTCGATTCATCAACATAAATAATCACCCTGTGACGATTGGCAAAGGAACGAAGATTGGAACCTGTGTCCCGGCAGCCTCCATAATCCACCAGGTGACAGCAACCACTGATGGGGCCGGCAAGTATGAAGAACTCGTATCTGCTGCAAGCGACTCACTCAACAACCGACAGAAGAAGAAGTTAACCGGGTTACTGCAGAGGTATAGATCCATTTTCATACCTGCCAATGGAAAAACAGGTAGAACCAACATCGTCAGTCACAAAATCGATACGGGAGATACTAGACCGATTCGTCAACCAGCCCGAAGATTACCACAGGCCAAGAGAGAAATTGCAGAAAAGATCATCCAGGATATGGAACAAGACGGAGTAATCGAGCCATCCAATAGTCCTTGGGCTTCACCAGTGGTACTAGTGAAGAAGAAAGATGGAAACACTCGTTTCTGCGTGGACTATCGCCGATTGAACAACGTGACGAAGAAGGACAGTTATCCTTTGCCTCGAATTGACGACACACTCTACACGTTGGCGGAATCGAATCTTTTCTCTACTCTGGACCTGAAAAGTATATATTGGCAGGTGGAAATGGATCCGGCAGATAAGGAAAAGACAGCTTTCACCATCGGCACTGGATTATGGCAATTCAAGGTAATGCCTTTCGGACTCTGCAATGCTCCGGCCACCTTCGAACGAATCATGGAGAATGTGTTGAGGGGACTCTCCTGGAAGACATGCCTGGTTTATCTGGATGACATCATCGTGATCGGTAAAACTTTTGAAGAACATATGGCTAACCTAGAGGAAGTTTTCAAAAGACTTCAGGCAGCAAACCTCACACTCAATCTGAAGAAATGCCATCTGCTGCAGAAACGGGTTAACTACTTGGGACACGTCGTAGGAAGGCAGGGTGTGGAAGTCGACCCTGAGAAGGTACGAGCAGTGAAGCAATGGCCAGTACCAAGAGATAAGCATCAACTCAGGAGCTTTCTTGGGCTCTGCACTTATTACCGACGTTACGTTCGAATGTTTTCGGATATCGCAAAGCCTCTCGCTCGTTTCACCGAAAAAGCATGTCCCTTCCACTGGGATCCAGAATGCCAGGCCGCCTTTGATGCTCTGAAGGAACGCTTGACCACGACACCGATTCTTGGGTATCCACTTCCACAAGGACAATTCATTCTTGACACAGATGCCAGTAATATCGGCATTGGTGGAGTCCTTTCGCAGTATCAAGATGGGCAAGAGCGAGTGATCGGTTACTTCAGCAAGGTGCTAGGAACTATTAGCCATGGTAAAATCGGTGGAGCATTTCTATAAGTACCTCTATGGGCGAAAATTCCTACTCAGGACGGACCACGCTGCATTGAAGTGGCTCCTGAATTTCAAGAACCCCGAAGGCCAAGTAGCTCGTTGGATCGA